TTTTGAAAGACGCATCTTAGCTCTGGAAATTGTTATTGAATATGTCAATGCTGTTGTAATGAAATGCTTCTTCTAATTATATGGTTATTAAATAAATAATTTTAAAAATTTAGTTTTTAATTTTATTTTGTGTATGTGTTCCTGAGTATATATATGTATACCATGTGCATGTCTAATGCCCTTGGAGGCCAGAAAAAGGAAACTGAACCCAGGTCCTCCGCAAGAGCAGCCAGTGCTCTTAACCTCTCCAATCCTAAGATTTTCATTTAATAACCTGGGAGTCACACATTCTTTTTTGTTTTCCAGATCGGATGTGGTATTAGTAGTGAGCATGACTTGGTGGGGTGTAGGACTAAGGAGCCTTCAGGAGTGCAGGGCCATCATTTGTCCAGGGGACCATGATTGGGGGTATATCTGACCCCACAACCCTCAGAGATTAGTTGCTTCTCAGCTTCCATGTCTTCAAGTTCATCTGCATTAAACTTGGTGAATCCTAACTTCTCTGAATTGTGGATCCTCTGGCAGCCAGAACTTGAACTTGGCTCTAAAAGGGCCTCAATCATATGCTCCTTATTCTGCAGCTTGTGCAGATGCATGGTGACCTAGTCAATATGAACCCTGGACACTGTGACCTGGGGCTTCCCAAAGGCACCCTAGATACTTGTCTGGAGCCTAGGTTGAGCACAGCATTAGATCAGAAATGTGGATATCCTCCAGAAAACTGTCTCCAATATTCCTTAGGGCAACCTATACATGAAACAGGCTACATACACTACCAAGGAGGATGCTGTTTGCAGCAACCACACACCAGGCCCCCATGAGGAAATAACCCTGGTTGGCTTAATTGGCTGCAGAGGTCACACAGTTTCTTTTCTTTTTCTTTCTTTCATTTGGTCTTTTTGAGACAGGGCCTCCCTGTAGCCCAGCTAGCCTGGAACTTGCTATGTAGACAAGGCTGGCTTTGAACTCACAGAGATCTGCCTGCCTCTGCCTCCTGAGTGCTGGGATTAAAGATGTGTGCCACCACGCCTGACTTGCTTTTTCTTTCTTTTTTTAAAAAATATTTTATTATTATTTTTAATGTGTATGAGTGTATTGCCCACATGTATGTGAGTGCACTTGTGTTATGCAATGCCTCAGAGGTTAGGAGAGGGCTTCAGATTCCCCTGGAGTTAAGGACAGTTCGGAGCTCCATGTGGGAGCTGGGAATTGAACCCAGGTCCTCTGCAAGAACAGTCAGTGCTGTTATCTCTCCAGCCCCACATTTTTTTTAAAAGATTTATTATTATTTTCCAATGATTTATTTATTTTATTTTTGTTTATGTGTATGTGTGTGTCTGTCTGCCACATGTGTGCAGGTGTCCAAGGAGGAGGTTCAGAAGAGGACATCAGATCCCCTGGAGTTGGGGTTACAGGCGAGTACGAGCTGCTCAGTGTGGGTTCTGGGAACCAAACTTGCATCCCCTGGAAGACACAAGCAAATACTCTTAATCACTGAGCCATTTCTCTAGCCCCCACTTTTTGTTGTTTTTAATTGTGTGTATGTGTGTGGATCTATGTTGTGAATATGTGCACTCAGGTCCTCTGGAAGAAGAGCATGAGCTCTTGGAGAGATGCTGAACCATCTCTCCAACCCAAGATTGTCTGATTCTTAAATTGGTTTCCACTGTGGACTAGATCCACAGCCCTCTGTGCCTAAGAATATGTGATAAGAAGACTGGAAATAAGAGACGATGCGATAAGAGATGAATTGCAGAAATTGTTTACCAAGTAAGCACTGATAAATGCTGTTATTCTGTGCCAGTCAGCTTCAAAACTGCCAGGGTGAAGACACTGTTTGCATTCTGTTAGACTCCTCTGGCAAGGAACTTGAACTTGGTCCCTGAGAGCAAATGCACCATCCAGTTTGGGGCCCAAGTCCAAGGGTTCAATTCACACAGATGGGAACCATCACCTTTCTCCCTGGATGGGGCCATTAGAGTTTCTAAGGAGCTTAGGCCTACTGTTGAAGAACCCCAAACTAGTGGGAGAGATCAGTCTTCCTGAAATATATATATCAAGGCTCCCTGTGAGTGCACTGATCTTGGCTCTGATGATGCAGGGTTATGCAATGAATCAGGGCCTTTGGAGGTGGGACTCTGCACACAGAATGAAATGAATCCCTTAGCTGAAGAGCCTGCAGTAGCTTCCTTGCGCATTCCTGGGTGTTATGATTTGCCTGGTTTGGGCTTTCTTTACCTGTAACCCCAACCCTTGCCGACAGCAGGTTATGGATTCCAAGTCTGCCTAGTCTTGCTCTGCTCTCCAACTTGCAAGCTGATTATTTCATTTGTTAGTGATTCTGTCTGTCGTCCAAACTGCAGTTTGATCCCAGAGCAGCTCAGGCTGACCTGTGGTCTGGTAACTAGTGTACAGTCTTGGCCAACAACATCTTTCTGGTTCTAAAGCCCAGCGCTGATACCAGATCTTGTGTCAGTCTGCCCATTTAACCTCACCTGACCCTTGTCTTCCACAATAACCATGATGGTGGGTTTACTAATCAGCAAGAGAGACTTCACATGGTCCGTGGTGTGTATGCTAGGAACTGCAAATGGGAAAAAAGTGATAAGAAAATAAAGGAAATAAATGTTTCATCGCTACAAGCCTTTGGTACTAGGGGATTGAACCTAGGGCCTTGAAGATACAGGTGAATTCTCTATCACTGAGCTATAGCCCCAGGCTTAAAAATTCTCTATCTCTCTTTCTATCTCTATCTATCTATCTATCTATCTATCTATCTATCTATTTTTTTATCTATCTCTTCATTCATCCATTTAATCTACCTATCACCATCTATCATTTACTGCGAGTGTGTGTGTGTGTGTGTGTGTGTGTGTGTGTATGCATGTGGAAGCCAGAAGTCAATGTCAGGTGTCTTCCTCAACCAGTCTTCACCTTATTTTTTAGGATAAAGTCTCTTGAGCCTGGAGCTGGCCAATTCAGCTAGACTGGCTGGCCAGCAAGTCCCAGTAATCCTCCTGTCTCCACCTCTCCAACACTGGGATTCCAGGCACATGCTGCTGTTTTTCCCTGGTGCTGGTGATGAACTTCACCTCATCATGCTTGCATGGCAAGTACTTTAAACAGTTGAGCTATCCCCCCGCCCTTTATTTTGCATTTTGAGGCAGAGTCTCACTAAGTCCATCAGCTTGGCCTCGAACTTTCTCTGTAGCTCAGCTAGGTCTTGAATAAGCAATCATTTCTCAGCCTCCTGAGTGATTGGGATTGCAGGCTTGTGCCACTGGTCCAGCTAATCTTTGCTCTTGAGATTCATAGAACTGAGAAGCATCTCATTTGGTAATTAGATGTGTGTCATTTAGCTACAAACTTCCAGCTCTGTGAAGGTGCCCTCCAGGCTGCAATCACCCATCTACCATATAAACTGCTCCTAAGACAGCCTCCCAAGAAAACAGATGGTCCTTTAAGCTGTCATGTTTCTATAAGTTAGCTTATAATAAAATTCTTTCTTTACCATGCTTTATAAAAATGTTATATATTATTTTATTTTATTTATTTATTTATTTATTCTTTGATCTTTTTGAGACAGGGTCTCCCTGTAGCCCCAGCTGTCCTGGAACTTACTATGTAGACCAGGCTGGCCTTGAACTCACAGAGATCTGCCTGCCTCTGCCTCCCAAGTGCTGGGATTAAAGGCGTGCACCACCATGCCCGGCAAAAATTTTATATTTTTAAAACTTTATATGTATGAGTGCATTGCCTGAATGTGTGTAAGTACACCTGTGTCATGCAATGCCTATGGAGGTCAGCAGAGGGCATTAGATCCCCTGGAACTGGAGTTACGAATGATTGTTAGCCACCGTGTTGGTGGTGGGAATCAAACCCGGGTCCTCTGCAAAAGCAGCTCATGTTTTTCACTACTGAGCTATCTCTCCAGCCTACCATATCCTTTTTTCCTTTTTCTTTTCTTTTTTTTTCTTTTTGGTTTATGCATGCATAAAATGTGTGTGCACATGTGTGTGGAGGTCAGAGAATAACCTCAGGTGTTGTTTCTTGGGCATCTTCTCCTTTTGTTTGGCCTGGAGCTTCACCTAGGGCTAGGCTCGCTGACTGGTGAGCTCCAGGGAGCCACCTGTCTCCACCTCCCATGTCACCACTGATGGTATTGCAAGCATGCTCTATCATGCTTGGCTTTTTTATGTGGGCTTTTGGAGATCTGAACTCAGGTCCTCCCACTTGAAAAGGAAGTTTGTCACCCACTGAGCCATCTCCCCAGCCACTATCTCCTTATCATTTGAGTAACTGGCCTATATCATGTAGTAAACAGGCAAGCCTACATAGTACAGTTCTTGGCTGACAGTGTGGCTGTGCAGGGTCAGTTACAATTATGCCTTTCTGGGTCCCCTCTAAGTCCCTTCTGGGAATCCTGGTCAGCTCCACACTTAGCATCTTCCTCCTCTAAAGGGAAAACAGGCATAGAGAAATCAAATTATTTGTTTAGAAAAACAGAGAAAGAGCTAGGTCAAAATTAGACACTTCAATTTACACTGCGTCTTTTAGAACAGAGTAATAAGCAAGACTTCATTCTTAAATAAAATGTTGTTTTAATAAAATACTGAACATATATAGTTTTCTTTTTAAAGATCTTAGAAGCAGGATGCTTAGTGTGAATGAGAATATATGGTATTCTGTATAATTAGTAGCAAAAACAAGGAATCTTGAATAAATAGCTTTAGCATTTTTTTTAAAAAGAGGCTGCAAGTCAGCTGAGACTGGAGAACAGGCACAGAGGAGTTGGTGGTCCTCTAAGAATGTGTTCTTGGTTGGCTTGGGATAGAGAAAGGAGTCTTATTTCCCCTCCAGGAATCAAAAGTAGCATCGGAGTGACCTTCTGGAGAGAGGAATCCTGACTCACCGTTTGCCACTTTGCCCAAGATTTCAGAGCTTAACTTAAACGTACAAAAGCACCACTGAAGAACTGCCCATTGGGCGTTTGAGGGTCCAGCAGGGGGGGCGGGGAGCCAGTAGAAAGTTCTGGGGGAAAGCAGAGCTGGGCTCAGGACACAGACATGATATGATAAAAAAGTTATGTCCCATAGATGTGACAGTCACCATAGCCATTCACAAATCCAAGATCATTGTGTGACTCACGCACAGCAGAAAAAAAGGCCAAAAGGAGAGTCACCCCTCTAAGGGGCTGGTTGTCACACTTTAGGTCGGCCCACCATTACTGAGAGGGTCACATCCAAAAACTCAGACATAACTGAAGCCATTTCTCTCCCTATCAAATGCACTGTGCCTTCCTCCTTAGGCACAGGTAGATTGTTCTGTTGGGATCTCTGGCCCAGGCTTCTGAGCTTCCCTACTTGGACGTCTTACTCATATATCTCACAGGAGAATGTGTTTAGCAGGTCTTCAGAGAAATATCTAGAATGACCCCACTTCTAACACTGAAGATTTTCCCGAACTGCCTCCTTAGCTTTTCAAAAACATCTTTCCATTTAGGATTGCAAAAGGGACAGAGAGTCACCTGGGCTGTCGTTAATGCCTCCAGCCTTAGAATAGACTGAAGAAGACTTTAGTTACCTCCAATCCTTTGCATAGTCACTAACTTTAAATACCAAAGACTCCACATGCTTTACAAAGACTTCTTGTGTGACCCACCCAGGATCCTGGAAAGGCAGTAGGGGATAAGACTGACAGATGCAAAGGGCACAGTTGCACTCTTGCAGAAAGACAAGACGTAGAAGATCAGCTCAATTTGGGACGGGGGTTTCAAAGAGTCAAAGAGGTGCAAGAGGACCAGGGAGGCCCCAATACAGCTGAGGCGGAATGGGAGCCGCCTGCCCAGTCTTCCTTTGCAGCTGTCCTGATACATGCTGGAGTTGAGGGCCAGCCCCAACCCCAGGAGGGTCCCTAGGTTCTTGAAGAGGCTAGCAAAGGGTGTGGTATCAATAAGGACCCATTCAGGCCGCTCGCACCATCTCTTGGCTTTCTCCAAAGTCCACAGGAGGTCCACTCCCAATCCTTTTAGCAGAAGGTAAAATCCAAGGGCGAAACCAAAAAGGAAGAAGGTGATGATAAAGTACTTCCTGAGGCTGGTGTTGTAGATGCCCTGGATGTGGCTGAATGCTTCAGCCACTGCAATGCCTGTGCAGAAAAAACAGCTCTGAGAAATAGTTGGTTCCGGACCTTCACTAGAGTTAGTGACGGGTGATAGGCCACCCACCCCACCACCATGAAATTAAATCAGGCACCAAAGTGGAGAGTGGACTGACTAATTCCAACAAGTCCTCAGCAAAGTCTCTTTCAGATGAAAGAATCACATGTTCATCTTCACATTGCATTTAAGTTTCCTATTTGAGGGGGTCCTGTTTCTATTCAAGTATGGTCAGGGGCAGAGAACTCATTCCTGCCAGACAAGCCCAGTTCAGTTCTGATTGGATTTGATGCTACACTCTTCTTTCTTATGCTAAGCTGACCTTTGCCCACCTTTATTTATTTATTTATTTATTTATTTATTTATTATTTATTTAAATATTTATTTATTTTGGTCTTCTTGAGACAGGGTCTCCCTGTAGCCCCAGCTGGACTGGAACTCACTTTGTAGACCAGGCTGGCCTCCATCTCACAGAGATCTGCCTGCCTCTGCCTTCCGAATGCTGGGATTGAAGGCATGCACCACCATGCCTGTTTTGCCCCATTTAATGCCATCTGTTGGTCTCGGTTCCTTCCACGGGAGTTAGTGAGTTGTGAACTTAGACCCTCTGACATACGGCTGACAGAGGTTCTTCTCATCAGAGCATTCCCAGGTTTTGTGTGACGTAGCTTCCATGGTCTTCCTTAAACATGAAGCCCAGTGCTAGCACTAACTGCTGTGTTAATGTTGTGTTTATCACGAGACCATCCTGGTCTTGTTCTCACTGTTTTCTTGTGCTGCCTGGCTCTGACCTCAGATTTCCAGGGGGCAATTTCACAATTTCCTTGAAGCCTTAGATTCCAGTGCCTTCTGTGTGTGTATGTCTGGTCATGTGCCTAAAGGTGTGTGTGTGTATGTATGTGTGTGTGTGTGTGTGTTCATGTGTTTGTGGATGCATGTGTGTGCAGGTGCTGTTTGTTCTCACTGTTTTCTTGTGCTGCCTGGCTCTGACCTCAGATTTCCAGGGGGCAATTTCACAATTTCCTTGAAGCCTTAGATTCCAGTGCCTTCTGTGTGTGTATGTCTGGTCATGTGCCTAAAGGTGTGTGTGTGTATGTATGTGTGTGTGTGTGTGTGTTCATGTGTTTGTGGATGCATGTGTGTGCAGGTGCTGTGCAGGCCAGAGGCCAACCTAAAGGCTGTTCGCTTGGAGATAACATAACAACCAAGGTTTCGAACCACAATTCCGAGCCACGTGATACCGACAGGACGAAACTCACTATAGACCAGGCTGACCTGAAACTCACAGAGATCTGCCTGCCTCTGCCTCCTGAGTGCTGGGATTAAAGGCGTGTGCCACCATGCCTGACTCCTTGTTTCTTCTTTTTTAAAAAAATTATTCTTTAGCTGGGTACGGCAGAGGCAGGTGGATCTCTGGGAGTTCAAGGCCAGCTTGGTCTACATAGTGAGTTCCAGGACAGGTGGGGCTACAGGGAGACCCTGTCTCAAAAAGACCAAAAAAAAGTAATTCTTTAAAGATTTATTTTTATTTTATGTTTATTAGTGTTTGCCTACATGTATGTATGTGCATCACATGTATGCAATGCCCACAGAAGCCAGAAGAGGGCACTGAATCCCCTGGAACAGGCACTAGAGACAGTTGTGTGCCACCATGTGGATGTTGGAACTGAACCTGCATCCTCTGCAGGAGCAGACAGTGCTCTTAACCACTGAACAATCTCTCCAACACCATACCTTGTTTTTGGATATAGAGTTTCTTTCTGGGACCTGAGGCTTACAATTAGGCTAGGCTGGTTAGTCAGTGAGCCCTGGGGATCCTCCTGTCTCTGCCTCCTAGCCCTGGGATTTCAGGCATTCACCACCAAGCCTGTTTTTTTTATGCAGGTGCAGAGGATCAAATTTAAGTCCTCATGAGCACTTTATAGACTGAGCTATGATCCACCCTTGACTTTCAAAATACTAAAATGTTGACAGCATTGAGACCATGAAGAACATGGCTGGGATCATGTCCTGACTGGGAAGGAACAGGAAGTGAGTAGGGAGGGCGTTAGAGCATCTGATACCTGACAAGACTCCAGCCACAACCTGGTGGGGAAAATGAGCAGCAAGGTAGATCCGTGACAGACAGACATTCAGCTGCACAGCCCAGTATCCCAACCACAAGATGACATTCAAATACCTGCAAGGGAAGAGGCAACCATATCAGAACCCAAATGCAGGTCCTTCAGCAAAGAAAATAGTTCTGGTGGGAACGGTGGAGACTGGCAAACTGAGGTACCTTTAATCCCAGCTCTCAGGAGGTAGAGGCAGGCTGATCTCTGTAAGTTCCAAGCCAGCTTGGTCTACCTAGTGAGTTCCAGGCCAGCCAGGGCTACAGGGAGACCCTGTCTCAAAAAGACCAAAAGAAAAAAAGCTCAAAGAGGCATGGTGCTGGGGCTGGAGAGATGGCTCAGTGGTTAAGATTACTGGCTGCTCTTGCAGAGGACCTGGGTTTGGTTCCCAGCACCCACATGACAGCTAACAACCATCTGTAACTCCAGTTCAAGGGGATCCGACATCTTCTGATTTCCATGGACATTGCATGACACGGGTGCACTTACATACAAGCAGGCAATACACTCATACACATAAAATAAAAATTATATATATGTCTATATATATGTTTTGGTCTTTTTGAGACAGAGTCTCCCTGTAGCCCCAGCTGGCCTGGAGCTCACTATGTAGACCAGGCTGGCCTTGAACTCACAGAGATCCACCTGCCTCTGCCTCCTGAGTGCTGGGATTAAAGGCGTGCACCACCATGCCCAGCAAAATAATATTTTTTTAAAATTAAAAAAAAGAGGCATGGTGCTTAATGTGACTGCTTTTGTGTGTGTGTGGGGGGGTCTTTCTGAAACAGGGTCTTCCTGTAGTTCCGTCTGACCTGGAACTCACTATGTAGGCCTGGCTTCGTTCTCACAAAGATCACCTGCCTCTGCCTTCCGAGTGCTGGGATTAAAGGTGTGTGCCACCATGCCCAGCCTTTTCTCATTTTTTTTTAATGGTCTTCTTGAGACAGGGTCTCCAGAAAATATGGACACTTCATGAATTTTCAGGTCATCCTTGTGCAGGCACCATGCTAGTCTTCTCTGTATTGTTCCAATTTAATATATGTGCTGCTGAAGCAAACACTCTGCTTTTTCATTTTATTTTATGTTATTTTTTCTTTTTTTTTTGAGACGGGGTCTTCCTGTAGCCCCGGCTGCCCTGGAACTCACTATGTAGACCAGGCTGTTCTTGATCTCACAGATTAAAGATGTGTGTCACCACGCCTGGCTAGCTGCTTTAAAATTTTTTTAAATTTATCATTTGTATGCGTACATGCATGCTACAGTGCATGTGTGGGGGTCAGAGGACAATGTCGTAGAGTTGGATCTCTCCTTCCACCTTTACATGGGTTCTGGAAATTAAAATCTGGTTGCCAGGCCTGCATGGCAAACACCTTTGCCCACTGAGCCATCTTGCTGGCTCTGATTTATTTTCCTTGAGAAAGGTCTTATGTAGCCCAGGCTGACCTCAGACTCACTATGTCGCCAAGGATGGCCTTGAACTCCTAATCCTCCTGCCTCTACTGGGATTACAAGCTTGTGATACCTGGATCACATAGATGAATTTTTTTTTTCTTTTTGAGACAGGGTCTCCCTGTAGCCCCAACTAGCCTGGAACTCACTAAGTAGACCTGGCTGGCCTTGAACTCACAAAGATCTGCCTGTCTTAGCCTCCAGCTGGGATTTTTTTATTACTCAGGATATAGCTCAGTGATAGAATGCTTACATAGCATGCTCAAGACTGGGTTTGATACCAAGCACTACAAACATGACTGATGGACAACTGAATGAATGAATGAAATGATGGGATTTCATCTAAGCCCTGCTCTCTCACTACCTGATCTTTAGAAACTACTTCATGGTGATAAGCCTTATTTCCTTGTCTAAAACAAGGGCTGCATTAGCCCCGTCCAGCCCTGGCATTCTGCAACTCTAATGTTAACCCAGAGCACAAATGCCACAACTTTTTAAAATATATTTTATTGATTATTTTTATTATATGTGTATGCATGTATTGCCTGCATGTAGGAAAGTGCACCCATGTCCTGCAATGCCCACAGAGGACAGAAGAGGCTGTCAGATCCCCTGGAACCAGAGTTACAGACAGGTGTTAGTTGCCATCTGGGTACTGGGATTCGAACCCGGGTCTTCTGCAAGAATAGCCAGTGTTCTTAACCACTCAGCCATCTCTCCAGCCCCGGTGCCACAACTGTTATTAGTGCCAGTCCAAGGCATGAGAATGGGCCAGGGGAGAGCAGGAAAAGCAACTGGTGTGTCAGCTACAGAAATAGCCACCACCTGCCCTCCACAACCCACACCTCAATGGTGAGTTCTTACCGGAATCCAAATGTTGGCTTTTTCTTTCCCCGAAAGATAGCAAGGGTAGATGTGACTATCACATAGTATACACCTGCTGTGCCCATGGCATGACCAGAAGGGCTCCCTAAGGGACAGGAAAGAGATGAATGAACTACGATGGAAAGGTGAACCATCTGTAAGACTCCCATGGGACATCATCCACCCATCCACCCATCCACCCATCTACCCATCTATTCATTCAGCCATCCATCCATCCATCTACCCATCTATCCATCCATCCGTCCATCCATCTATCCATCCATCCATCCATCCATCCATCATCCATCCATCCATCCATCCATCCACCTATTTATCTACTCATCTACCCATCCATCCATCTACCCATCCATCCATCTACCCATCCAGCCATCCACCCATCCTTCCATCAGTCATCCCTTCCATCTACCCATCTAATCATTCATTTATCCAAATATGTATCAATTATGTATCAAATTCTTCTGTGTACCAAGCATTGTGGAAAACTCAGGAAGTCCAGTGATCAGCAAAACCAGAGAAGGTCTTGTAGTTATAGACAGTCTGGAGATTACACAAAGAATCAGCATGCTGGATGTGCAACCACACACTGACCTGTCCACTATTGCTTTTCTTCTGCTCTCCCTCTCCCTCCACTCCTGTCATGCTAGCCTCATTGCTCCCCTCTAAACATGCCAGGCATGTTCACCTCAGGCATCACTGTCTCTCTGGCCAGACATTTTTTTCCCCAAGGTTGACTCTCTTGCCTCCTGAGTGCTGGGAGGCAGAAGCAGGTGATCTCTATAAGATCAAGGTTAACCTGGTCTACATATCGAGTTCTAGGCCAGCTGGGACTGCAGGGAAACCTTGTCTCAAAAAAACCTAAATAAATAAATGAATGAATAAATAAATAAATAAATAAATAAATAACAGCTGAAGTAAACCAATGGTCTATGAAGGTAAATAGCCAAGATATTTCCTAGCAGAGGGTCAGGGAAGAGCCCCTGAGGAGGGGATGCTGGCACCATAACTTGATGGGAGGAGCCAGTTGGATATTCTTAGTATGAGCTAAAAAAAAAAAAATCCATCATTTAGTCTAACAATTTCTTATGGCTGTAACTGATAAAACATGGGTTGGGCTGGGGATGTGGCCCAATTGGTACAGCATTTTGCCTTGCACACACAGAAGCCCTGGGTTCAGTCTCCAGCACCACATAAACTACCTGGACATGGTGGCACATACTTGTAATCTTAGTATTTAGAGTGGAGTGTGGTTGAAGAGAAGCAGGAAGATCAGAAATTCAAGGTCATCTTAAATTACATGGCAAGTTTCAGACCAGCCTGCCTAAAAACAAACAAACCTCTTAAAACACACACACACACACACACACACACACACACACAAAACACCACAGGCAGCATGAAGGATGGATGGGATGGTCAGCTAAGGGGACCGTGTTCACACTGCTAGGAACAATCCGGACCCCAGGCTCCTACCACCTTCCCCTCTGGATAAAACTGTGGCTCAATTATTCCCACAAGATTTGTGGGGATGCCCATGGCTCTCTTGAAAACATTATTGAGATTTCTAGAGTGGCAATGAAAGATCTTGCTAACATGAATTAAAATGGAATAGCACCAGATTGAAGGCTGGGACAATAGTCTACCCCGTGTCAGTAAGGTCTGGGATTCTTACCTGGTCCAGTCTCACAGGTGACAGGGAACTGCTTGATCATCGGCACAGAGGTGTTCCTGTAGTAGTCAGTGTCCAGGACCCACCAGTATGGGCGCTGTCCAAAGAGAATCCTGTGGAAAGTGGAGCCAAGGCCTGGAGTGACTCGGGGCACGGTTTCGCCGGAAGCCCGCACTTTAAAGAAGAAAAAGGAACTAGAGGAGATCTCCATGTTGCCCTTGCAGGTGGAACTGGCTGCCTGGGGAGAGATTTCTGGGGGCATGCTTGTATGACACAGTCTGTAGATGGCTTTTGAAATTTGAACCTTTGAATGTATTATCTATTCAAACATAAGTAAATAAATCCAGAAGTCAGGTGCAATGGCATGCATCTGTGGTCTTAGCTACTTGGGAAGCTGAGGCAGGAGGATCACTTCAACCTAAGAGTTTGGGGCTGCCTAGGCAATATAGCAAGACTCTCTCTCTCTCTCTCTCTCTCTCTCTCTCTCTCTCTCTGCCTCTGTGTGTGTGTGTGTGTGTGTGTGTGTGTGTGTATACAAGCACATGTATATGCAAGTGGAGGTCAGAGGACAACCTTGAGTGTCATCCTCAGGAGGGCCATCCACTCCTTTGTGACACAGTCTCTCACTGACCTGAAGCTTGTCAATTAGGCCAGCGAGCTCCAGGGATCCACCTGTCTTTAGCTCCCCAGCACTGGAATCACAAGTGCATGCTACCATCCCTGGCATTTTTACGTGGGTTCTGGAGCTTGGACTCAGGTCCTTGTGCGTGTAAGATACTGAGCCATCTCCTCAGTCCCAAGACCCTGTCTCCTAAGAAAGATAAATTAACAGAGGGCCAGGGTTATATCTTGGTTGTAGAGCATTTGCTTAGCATGTTTGAAGCCCCAGATTTAATTCCAATTCCTAGCATTTTTCTTTCCTTCCTTCCTTCCTTCCTTCCTTCCTTCCTTCCTTCCTTCCTTCCTTCCTTCC